TGTGAAAAAGATTTGTGCAGTGTTTATTCCAGGTAGGTTTCACCCTGCTTTACATGAATAGTTACTCATGATGGTTGTTAAGATTGGACAAGGATAATTTAAGCTCTGTCAATTGCAATAAAATGCCTGACAATAAATTATTACATGGATCACCCCAATTTGTTTTGTTTCCTTTCATTCATTCAAGCATGTGCTTAATTTTGAAAAAAGCAATTATTTACTGTTTCTAAATAACCTTTAACCTTTTTGTAAATATCAAAAGTCAAAGTCAGCTTTATTGTCAATAATTCTACTTGTTGTACATCCAGAAATATCGAAATATCGTTTCCCGCAGTCCTACAGTGTGACATATATACAAAAAACAAAAAGGGCCTAGATAAACATGGTATACATTAAACAAAACAAAGGGCATAGATAACCGGGGTATACAGTTTAAAATGTCAATATAATTTAAGTGTTTAAAGTACAGTTTCAGTGCAGGAGCATGGGAGATGGGCAGAAAAGTGAGTTAGGGGGTTAGAGTCCAGGACCATTTGGGGCAGGGGAGAAAGGTAGCAGGCAGGGTGGAGAGTTCAGGGGAGAGATGTCAGAGGGCGGAAGAGATGGAGGGAGGGGAGAGAGTTCAGCAGCCTGACCGCCTGGTGGAGGAAGCTGTTGCCCAGCCTGGAGGTGCGTGAGCTGAGGCTGAGGAACCTTCTTCCTGAAGGCAGGAGGCTGAACTCTTATACTTGTGTAGTTTGATGTCAAGTTTCAGATAAGTTGTTAATTAAAACCCCTAGCGAACATTTGCTCTCTAACCTTAAAATAACTAATTTAAGTAACTGTTGAAATGATCCAGTATTTCACCTGTACTTTTACTTAGGCAGTTTTTACTTGTAATGGAGTATTTTTTACTTTGGTATTAATGTTATACTTAAGTAAATGAATATTTCTTCCACTACTGCACCTATCTTACCATTTTTCTAAGATGAGCCTGTCTCAAGCAGGAAGATTATCTGCGCTGTTGAACTCATCTTAAACTCTCTTCTACGGATATGTATCATGCGCTTCGTATTATGCAATTGTGTAACAGCTAAGCCAATCAGAATGCGTGTACAAGCTTTAAGCCCCGCCTTGGTCATTATCCGTGGAATGTAATTGGCTGAATGCTTTTGTAACAGCTCAGGTTTTATAACACAATATTGGAGGGTGCAGACAGCGACGTTTACCTGCAACGGAAGAGGTTACATGTTAGGTTATACCGAATAGATACAAATAAGGAAACAACCATGGTCTGACTGATAATAAAAGGTAAGATTTGTTTTCGTTTTGTTCTCTTCTCCCCCTGTATTCAACCTTTATGACCGCGCCCACGCCGAGGAGAGAGAAATATATGAAAACAATTAGCCTACTAATTACATGGAGTGGTGGGAAGCAGGCTACATTTGTTGAAATAGGCCTTCCTATACTTTATTTGATTATCCATTTGAAGTTACTCTACACATATACTTTGCTACATTTCACAGGGAAATATTTATATTTACTGAAATTAGAGGTATTTTTTGCTGTAAAATGTTTCTGAATAGGCTACTACTTCTACCTCTTAATGTAGTATTAATAATTATCCTGTAAGGTATATGTGCTATATTTGTACCTGTTAACAGTTATTTTATCGTTTGGCTTCACATCACAGCTAGCATCTACGTGGTGAGGAAGATCCGGGCCTCCATTGATGCAGGAGAGCAACTGGAAAAGCCCATCACAACACCATGTAGTGCTAGTGGTAAGACAACCTCCTCTACTACAACTTCTGCAAAGGAAACAGAAATAACTTCTAGAACATAATGAACCCTGTGTATACTCTGAACAATAAACTGACAACTCTTTAACTGTATGATCCCTGCATATCATACAGTTACAGATATTTGGTTTTTGCAGTCATCTTACTGTTTATTCTTCAGATCTTTGTGGAATATTGACTGTGCCCCATGGCCATGCTACTGAATGGGACAGTTTTGGTTTTCGATCAAAAAATCGAATCTAATTTAAGAATATTATTTGCCAAACTTGATATTTTTTTTACATGCTCAGACCTAATTTAGCTTGATTTGACTTACCATTATGTCATGAAACATATCCATGAGGGTATAGGTACACAAGGAGTATTATGCTGTATAAGTAACTAACTCATATTTATGTTTATTTTCCACTTAGCTGGACACGAGTCAAGAGGAAGCATTACTGCGGCCGCTCTGATTCCAGCACCTGAGGAAGGTGTTGGTGGAGCAGCATGCTTGATGACGTCCTCAGGAACGTCTGTGCAAAATTCTGGCTCTTCCTGACGTTAAAGATCATGCTGGACACTGGAACTGTGGTCTCCGCAGTGGATTTGGGCATAACAGTAAAACGAGATAATGGATAATTCAATGTTGTATATGCAGAACCGTTTACATTTTATGGTCAACATATATTTGGCCAAACTAAAGTTGTACAAACAGACCCTTACGGACTTCTTTCCAGTGTCTATGCTGTACTCAGGGACCAATATCGAGCTAATGACACACATCCTTTTTCACAGCACATTTTGTCTTACCATAGGAAAAAAACAGGTGCAACTAATAACAATGACTCTTTTCCATGTTTGAGCTAACTCACAAAACAGGCACCTGAATGCAATCCAAACTGTATGTTATTAGTACCTGGTAAGTCATCATGTTTTCTGTGAGAAAAGCCTGTATTCTGCAGTTTATGAAGGCCAACTCACCAACCTCTCTCCAGGGGCTGAGCAGGCCTGATGTTTCTTCTGCTGTTACAATAAATAAAACAATTAAAAAAAAGTTGCTACAGTTGCTGTCTTTATTCTTGCGAAAGGTTATTGTTATTAGGTTAAGTATAAAGTATAAAGAAATAGAGATAAGAAATAAAACCTTTAATCCAAGTTTGACTTGACTGATTAAGAAACGCAAAGGTGTAATGCAAAAATTATGAAAAAAGCACATTTAAAAAATATAATATTTTCATTTAATTAGTGCGAATGCTGTTTACATCATTCCACTATAGTTCTTCGAATCTTTATTCCCCTTATTTCAGCCAATACTTTGGCTTTCCATAACTTCAGCTTACTTTCAGCTACAGAAACCATTCAAATATTAAACTATTCAGCCTTTTCAGGAATCGATGGGAAACCTTTTTGAAATATTCAGCTTTTTAAACTATTTTTTTAACATGGAAGTCAATGGGACGACTCTTCAAATCCTCTTTAACTACACCTTACGCCAAATGCTTCTCCTTCCACATACTTTCAGCTTGAGACTTCATTCCAACTTTAAAATGATCACAAGACCTTCAGCTGGAAATAAGGGGAAGACATAATTTTTCATGAAAAACTTAGGAAAACCTCTCCTAGGTTGGAAAATTAAAAAAGAATTAACAAAATGCCTCTTGAGGGCATGAAGAGACAAAAAGTCCACCTAGCTCCCAATTGATTCCCATGTTAAAAAAATCCGGATCTTTCTTCAGAACAGAGAGAAGTACACTTTAGACAAACTGCTCTCATCTTCACATTTACCACACAAAACCCCAAAAAACAACATATATCAGTTCATTGGGGTTCCCTGATGCTCACGGTCTGTTCATTTTTTGATAGGAGCGATAGTTTTTGAACAGGTGGCAAAATTGTCAGATATGATCCTCAATGCATTCACTGCAGCTGGTAACCATGGTGTTGCTGGGCAGATTGAAAGCTTTGATGGGCTCACACAGGTGTTATGATTATTTGTTATGATTAGGTGCTCAGCACAGAAACAAATACTGACAAACATACTGGACTTTAACAGACTGTATCAGCCTATTCTTTTCTGTCTGATGGAGACTTCATACTGACTTCAACAGGTTCCACATATTGTATACATTATTGGTGACGTATGGTTTTAGTCGAAAAGTTTGCAGTCAAAATATTCTGCTGCTTTCCCAAGCCTTTTTACTTTCTTTTCTCTTCTTAATACAAATTCATTCACTACTACTTACATCTGATAACTCCTTCAGCCTATTTTCAGCTGCAGAAACCATTCAACTATTACATTATTCAGCTATTTCAGGACATCAAGGCTATACATGTTGTCGTTTATACCTTTTTTTAAACCTTTTCTTTTAAATATTAAGCTTTTTCTGCATTTTTGTAGCTAAAAGCAGCTACCATTCAGCTAATAACATATTCAGCTTTTTCTGCATTTTTGTAGATAAAAGCAGCTAATAACATATTCAGCTTTTTCAGCTAAATTCAGCCACAAATATACACAGTTTACAGCATTCGCACGCATTTTCTGCAGGAAATGCATTTTCTAGTATATGATTAGAGTTTAGGATATAAGAAACTAGTTTCAACACTTCAATGGATCAATACTTTTTACACAATTTTACATTACTCTTAATAATGGGTAGGCCTACTTATACTTTTGGTAGGCTACTTGTGCATTTTCTCATGCTAATATGCTACTTTTGTACCTTAACTTAAAGGTAGGGTAGGTAAGAATGGAGAAACTAGCTGAATGTGAAAGTACACAACCGAAAAAAATCTGCCCCTTCCTTCAACACACACGAACGCGCACATGACCGATGAGGGCACGAGATAAGTTTGTGCACGAGATGGGCCGAGGCAGATAATTGGACTTGCTTTTTACAGCGCCACGGCTTCCACTAATGAAATATTTGTATTTATTGTCAACGCATTTAATATATTCATTGCTATCGGGATGTTAAGAGCATTCCATGGAATATAACAGTGTTTCTGAAGTGAATTACCTACCCTACCTGTACACGTGATACACTGTGGTGGTAGCCCAAAGCTTTCTTATATTTAAAAATATCTGAATTGCATATCTCACAATTGTACTGTAAAAATGCAGTACTTGAATTGAACGTGCTTAGTTACTTTGCTCACCCATCCTTCCCGGGAACAAATGTCAGCTCTTTGTGCACCTCGCTGTTATTCCTGTTGCACTTCTGGTGTCTACCGGATGTTGCTAAGGAGCATAGGAGCGCAATTAGCAGCACTGAGCCCAACAAAATGTGACTCTGCTGTGTTTTGTAAAATGCTGGTGGAAACGTTCATGTGGAAATAGTTGGCCTACAGTCTCCTTATATTACCTGTTGGTCTGAAGAGAATCACGTGTCTACGGTAAGCTGTATCTCTGCTAGCTAGCATAATAGACATGGTAGCATTCAACAAGCTAACGTTAGCACTGCCGGCTAACGCTAGCACTAGCTATTGAGGGTTTTCACTTTCGATTGTGAGAAATGTAACTTTAATCAATTTTAAAATCAGATATGTGGTAATTTTTGGGGTGGGCATTGACATATCTGCAATACGGGTTTCCTGTTATCAATAGGAAGCGTTAACGTGACTTGTGTGCTATCTGTGCTACATACATTTTGTAAATAACATAGTTAAAAGGCTTTTTTTCAAAGCTCCGTTTATCGTTTTTTTCCCTATTGTAAACGGTAGTTTTTAAAAAGTAAACTACAAATACTGTTATAAAACACAGCGAAAGTAATACGTAAAAACAAAATAAATATATCAAACTAACAAATAAAAAGCACTGCATCGCAAATTGCTTAATATTTCATTAAATTAGTATAATTGGGTAATGTTGTCCTCGTTTTTGTTTAAATATTTGTATTCCATCATCTGTTTGCATTGCTTATGTACAGGGGTCACACATGGTCTGATTGAGCAACATATCTTGTGAAATAGTGTTACTGTTGCTTGCTAATCCAAATAATAAATCAAACATCACAGCCAGCTTCTGACACATTTTTCTTTGGTATGGTTGTAAACATTTTGTAAAGTGTCGAACAAACTCAACATGTGAAACCTTGTTTGTTGAAATTACGTGGTTGAACCTCCTAGGTTATACAGGACCTTTTTTACTTTAAAAACACATTGGTTATTGCTTAGTGAATGAAACCCGTTTTTTAAAATACATGTTACATTTATGTACGATTTAATTTGTGACACTTAATCATTTTTATTTTCTTTGTTTGTCTTTCAGTGTTCTTGCTGTGTCTCAAAATTGTAGACCATGATGGATCGAAGAAGAGCCTTAACTATTCCATTTAATGTTGACAATAACTTGGTATGTGTGACTCATGTTTTCCTCACATGCATGTGCATGTGTGCTTTTTTTTGCGCAGCATGAATTGCTTAACTGGAGAAATTCTGTAGGAAAGCTTGCTTTATGGCTACCATAATAGATTTGTTGTTCACATGTAAAGCATAAGCTCATTGCGATGTATTATTTAATGGCTCTGACCTGCTTTTGTGATTGCTAATGGTATACTTTAAAATGATGTTTATCTGTGAGCTTACTTCCCTTTTGTTAAAATAAATGGTTCTCCATAAGGGCAAGAGGACACATTACAGCGGAAGCATGATGAGCTGTAAATAGCTATTTCTGCATAATTGCCAATGCTACAGTTACCATAGTAAACTGCTGCTGTGTTAATTTTTTGTGTGTTTTAAGTTAATTATACGATCTATAAAATGTGACATGTTAAAGTAATGTATTTTAAAGCTCTGTGAAACCCAAGTTGATGTTTTCAAATAGCTTGTTTTGTCTGACAAAGCCACGAAAATAATCAATATATTATTGATATAAGGCAAGGCAGAGATAATCAGCAAATCATTCAAATTAACGAGCTGGAACTAGTAGTATTTTTAATAAAATTAAAACCAATCGTCAAATTAGAAAATGTATTCTCTTACAATCAACTTATCAATTTCCTGATTTATGATTGCTGCTTTATTCCAGTGCACATGCTTCAACACATAGACACATAATGAAATTCTTACTTACATGCTTTGCTCATTTGCACTTTTTGTTTTTTAATTTATACAAACACAGTAACTAACCACCCTGTTAATTTTAGGTGGGAAACCCACTCAAAATCTCCATGCCATGTCTCTCACCAAAGTGTGGGAAGTTAGAAAGACAGGTACAGCGATCCTTCTCTGTATGACCACATAGACAAATGTTAAGGTGGTGGTGGTGAGGTTTTTCTGGTTATTTTCACAAGACTGGCTCTGTTACCTTCCCTTCTCACAGGTTTCCTGGACTGCATTTGCAGGTTGCAAACTCAAACATTGTGATTCACAGCATACAAATGGATTCACGCTGCTTGATCACAAGCACGCTGCTGCAGTCACACTGGAAATGGCAAGGTGAGAAGAACAAATGGATTTTGTTACTGCTGTTTGCAGACAGAAACACCTGATTAATGTTCTGCTATCAGTTAAAACTATAAATGTGTAGTGTTGTCTATGCTAAGCTTAACTGTTTGATACGTTATTGTTCCAAGCTTGCTTTCTGCTTTGCTTGAACTATATGCTATATGTACACATGCTCGTTTATTTTGTTTTGATTGGCACCATTTTAATTGGGGAGAGGGTACTGTATTTTTAAGCCTCTTCTTTTTTCAATTTTTAAAAACTTTAAAACCATGACATAAAAACATGTCTTTAAGCAGTTATGGTCTTTATGACTTTTGTGATGAATACCATCATTATCACACTACCGAGACTGTTTGTATGTTCATCGTCTTCCCAAGTTTTGTCTACAATGCTGAATTTTAAAGATTGCCAGCTGTCTATTGTTTGTGTGTACAGTAGCAGTGTTGCACATTGCTCTAATATGCTCCTACTTAAAAAATAAAGAGTGCTTATATGCACCATGTCTCAAGGCCAAGCTTATCATGACTGCACACATAGCTGATCTAAACCCCTCCCTCTTGATCAGCTGGTATGGACACAGCTGGCCAGGACACATTAAATGGTGGACAATGTTGCAGACAGAACGTTGCTCTAGAAAGGTTGTGAATAACTGCTTCTGTGTTTCATCCTGTAGGAGGCAGCCCTGTCTGATCCTGACCAATGTCCTAGAGACAGAACAGGGTAAGGCCTACATGGAAAGAATAACACAGAGTCCAACTTCAAGGAAATGCAGACGAGGGTCAAGTACACCGTTGGAGAGTGGGCGAAGCAAAGAGGAGCCTCTGATCTGCAGAGACAGGAGGTCCAGTCAGAAGGAGGCTGATAAAAACAGAAGTCAAACCCCTAAAAGCAACCAAAAGAAAAAGTCCCCACTTTCTCAAAGGTAGGAATCAACTGTTAAATGGATAAATAGAAATGTAGGAAATGTGCTTTCTTGCTGAGGGTTTGAGAATTGATTCCACTGTCATTTAACTCTAAATAATAAGACAGAAAATGGGTCTCACTTGCAGAAAATAAAATGTCTCTGTTTATGTATGATGTTGTACTGATGAGTAATACAATTCTAAATACAGGATAATGTGATGGTTTACATGCACAGACCTGTGAATAACCGACCAAATTAGCCACAAAACCAGTAGGAGGTTTTATTTATTACGGTGTAATGAGAAATGACCTTTTAAGAGTTGGCTCTTTCCAGGCAGAAAACATGCTGATTTTATTTGGAATAATACCACACAGAAATTTTTCTCAACTTAGATCAAATATGTGTTTATGCATGAGTTTTTGTCTGTTTAGTCTTAGAGGTTTAGTGTTTAGGTATTCTTCTTAGTATATAAAGTGTAACACTGTAGCATGTTGCTTGTGCTAAAAAATGAGCGTTGTGTTCATTATTTTGTGTCTTCAGGTCAAGACTCTGCAGAAGGTCACAAAATGTTGATGACGAAGAGGACAGAGAGGAAAACAAAGATGGCAAGCAGGTTATAAGAGGAAAAGACAACGGAGACAACTTCAAATACGCTGAAGTTGTAGGTGTGTAACATGAATGCATTCAGAATCACGGTTTCTATTGTGCTCCTGTTTTTGGGTCCTTTTGACTATCTCTTATTTTAAGACTAAGAAAGATTTAGATTTTCCTGCTTTCCACCGGAACTTCTGTCCAATGTCCTTTTCAGGGTTAATGCTAGTGTTTTACTGAAACAAAGCTGAATTTACCCAGCATTTCCCTTACAAGGATATACTTTTTTCTACTTTCTAGTAGTAGTAGTAGTAGTGGTAGTAGGTAGTAGTAGTAGTATTCTTCAGTTTGACAGAACTGTATGTGTTTTTCTAGCCTGATTGTTTGCTTATCTTTCTGTCTGATACAGGTTGTGGGGTGTTACTGAGATGGGAGCCTGTAGATGATACCGGAAGTTGTGATGAGTTCATCAAGGACAGGTTGTCTGATCCAGAAAAAGAAGTACAAAACAGTGTGGTGAGTGCCGTACTGAGAGTCTCACAGAAGCGTAAACTTTATCCAAACTTTCTTATAAAAGGCATAAAGCAACAGAACAGGCATGCAGACTATTTTGTAAGTGTGTTTTTAAATGGCATCATGTTTTGAATAAGCCTTTATGTAACTTTTACTTAAAAGTCATGATGTTGTTTCCATAACACTCCAACAAAAACCCTCAGACATTTCCATCAATGTCAATTAAATGGAATTATGAATACCTATTCAAAAGAATTGAATGCAGCTTGGGAGCATATAAGACCCTAGCATTGAGGCTGTATCTATAATGTTTTGTCATGTTCAATGCATCACATATATTTGACTTAAAAGAGACCGCTATGTTTTAAAACACTAAAGGGATCACTTCTCCAATAGCACAATTTTGTGTATGACATGTAAAAAGGGCTATTGTGACACCTCTACGGTTATATCTCTTAAGACATCTGTGTGTCTTGCGCTTGAACATGGCTCCAGTTGTTTGTTGAGTTTCTGCATTCTGTGCTGTCTCAACAGAAGAGGAAAAGAAAGGATCCAGCATCGCCGTGCAATGGAACCGGCAGCCCCAAACGCCACCGTGAGAGTGTGCTTCGGCTCAACGGAGAAGAAGGAAAGGATGGAGAACTGTCCCCAACGCGTGTTTGTCAAACGGAACCCGAAGCAGACGGAGATCCGGAAAGCCTGGACCGTACCATTTTACAGTTCACGGAGGGAGGAGATGACCCGACCCCCGGTCCTCATTTAGAAGCCGGAGACTCTGTTGCTACCCCCAGACGAAGTCTTTCCTCCTGCCAGGACAACATGACCACATCCAGCCCCTTCGAATCCAGTGAGTACCCCAACAAAGGATAAGATCACCTCAAAAACTGGTATCTTAATTCTACTGCTAAACTTTTCTTTGAAATGATCCAAGAGGTAGCTCAGGAAAACGGTGACTCAGGCAGCTCAGCTCAATGCCATGTTGTTTTATATCAATATGTAAATACTAGGGCTGTCAAGTTAACGCGTTAATAACGCGTTAACGCAAAAAAAAATTAACGCCACTAATTATTTTAACGCGATTAACGCATGTGTATTTTTTGTCCTCGGCCGCCGTAGTTTCAGAGCGCATCGAGTTTAAAATACCATCTACAAGCTGATGCTGACAGCCCCGCTCCTGCTGCCCGCTTGTGGCAGACCACACTTCCACGCTCACCGGCAGGCCCGGCCTGGCCATCGGGAGGACCGGGAGGGTGTGTGTATGTGTGGCGCGAGCGAAGCACACCTTACGTGTTGTTGTTAGCATCTGGTGCTAGCTAGCTGAGCTAACGGATATAAGGAGCTGTTTCAATGAAAACAGAGGAGCGACATTTCGCCGACAACTGCGCCGAGCACTTGACTTTATGCAGGTAGCCAGACAGCACACTCAGCACGGATAGTGCCGCAACACAGCTCATACACACAGGCATATATGCCTTGAGCTGCACATAGCTCCAACGATCCTACACACACACACACACACACACACACACACACACACACACACACACACACACACACACACACACACACACACACACACACACACACACACACACACACAGTATTGTATGAGAGAGGTTCTAGGTTGAATTGAGGCGAATATTTGTAATGTTCAGAGGTTGTTGTGTTTAATATTCATGAGAATATTTGTCATTGTTCAAATGATAATAAACAAACATATAAAGCATAGTTGTACACTCATATGTTGATAAGAGTATTAAAAACTTGAACAATATCCCTCTAAGGTACATTTAGAACAGATAAAAAATGTGCGATTTAATTTGCGATTAATCGCGATTAACTATGGACAATCATGCGATTAATCGCGATTAAATATTTTAATCGACTGACAGCCCTAGTAAATACATGATCTGATCGTGAAGCTGAGCACTTAGCTTCTGTAGACTGTTAGTGAAGCTGGCTCTATGAAGAACAGACAGAATTAGATGTTCTTCTACATTATCACATAGTCTTTCAGCTAATTCAGCAGGACTCACCCACACTATTCCCAGACCAAAACCAAGCCCAAATAATGTGAGTCTAAAAGCTTTTGTGCACTCTGTTAGATTCCATTATCAGTCGAGCATCAGTACTGGATTCATGTGGGCGATATCATTAACAACATTTAAGAGAATTTGTTTAAAACTCAGATAAAGATGTTTTCAATAAGATATTTATTTTATTGACTTTGATAAAAGTCCCCCTTTTTTATATTAACTGTCTTGTATTTCTTTTTTAGAACTGTTTTTGTATTCCTTTCTTTTTCTGGGCCATATAGTATATATGAATACTAAATATTTCTAAACAAAATCTAATCTCTTAAACATCATGACTTGTTGACATCTTTTTATTTGATTTAACTAAAGTTACAAAGTGTTTAACAAAAAAAGCTACATTGTTCTATAAATAAAGAACATTATAATGATTATTTCTATCTTTACAACCTACTTGTGTGTCATATAATAATAATAATAATAGTAATAATAGTAATAATAATACATGGGATTTTTATAGCACTTTTCCTAAAGCTCAAAGACGCTTTACATTACATATCTAGGACAACCTCTATCCCTGCTCTCCTTTTAAAGCCCATTACAACTCCTTTATGCAATATAGGACATGATGTGCTTGTTTTTGAAAAAAGTGACTTGGCTAGCTAGCTTAAATTCACTCTGGGCCTGATGTGTTTTCCATGTGCTTTTATTTCAGTTGTTCTGTCCAGTGATGATGATGATGAGGAGGAGGAGGGCGGTGGCGCTGACATGCAGGTTAGCTGGACTTCTCCCTGTATTACGACTGATCCATATCTCTGTAATGAACACATTTCATAACAAGATCAATAATGCTTTGTCGGAACGCAATCTAGTCTCTTATTTGATAAGAGCAAAGCATATATGAATCTTGGAATACAGTAAAAGGAACATTCAGATTTTTTTCTCAACTCATTGTTTGTTTTTAGCAAAGTTTTAGCCCCGGTTTAAACATAACAAAATGTAGCACTGTATGAAAAAAGCATGTTGCTCTATGGGCCCGGGGATATTGGCCTTAAATCACAAAAGCTTGAGCGATTAATATTCATATTGCATCTTATGCTAACAAGATATTATGAGAGAAATGTTTCGATATTAAACTACAACAAAGTAGCAGCATGCATAGCTGTCAGTGTGTCATTCTTCTTACTAGCACTAGGTGGCGCCAACAGAAGGAAGATTTCAATCCCACACATAGAGTTAGAAATATTGTAACTGGAAAGATATTGTGTCTTAATAGTTCTATACATATTTGACTGTTAATGTGTATAACCAATGTGTTTGAACCGACTTTCCCAACAGTGTGTGTATGTTTCTGTGTTGCAGGTGCTTATAGAGGAGCCTGTGTCAGTGACAATTTCTCCAAACCCCAGTATAGACTTCTCCTTCTCCACGCTGCACTGTGGTGGTTATCGAGCGAGAGCAAATGGAGAAATCATGGTATAAACCACAAATATATTAATTTGTCGATGCTGAACACAGATTTTTTTTAAATCACATTTCAGGGGAAGGAGTGTAACACATTGTTTACTCTTTCTTTCACAGATAGCAGACCAAGAAATCATCATCCCACTGGAAGGTAATGATAAGAGGAGTTTTTACCTTTGGTGTTAATTACGCTTGAATAGACTCTCAGAGAGGCATTGGCCTACCTGAGCCCTTTGGTCTGAACTTGTTTTGGTCATGCTGTCTACACGCATCCACTCCAAGCTTACTGGTCTATTTCAGATGGTAAAGTATGTGTGTGTTACTGGATTAGACCCTCAAGGCCCTGGAGCACTCTCAGCTTTTGAGACCGTGTTTGTGTGTAAGAAATATGGTTAAAAAAATAAGTTGCATTGTAAAACGATATTCTTGGGTAGATACACATTTTATTGCAGGTAAACCTCTGTGGCTGAAAAACAAATCACTAAAGAGGTCGCTGGTTACATTAGCCTTGACCCGAGCCTTCGTGGTATTTCAAAGTGCATTTCCAGGATGCAGTCAGTCAAGCTGTGCAATCCATTGTTTAATAAAAACAGGCCAATCTGATGCTATAACAATATCAAAAGAAAAACACACCTAACCCTAACCCAAAAAAGATCACAAATCAAATTGAAAGGATACCTTTAGAAATGAGAAATTGACAGATGTGAAACATTTCAAGTGATTTTTCTGAGATTAGATATCTTGTAAATGAGGGATACCTATATTTGTAAAATGTTGTAGGACAGTACAGTTGGTCATTTAGTCACACAGTCTTTCTACCTCTTTGCTGCAAATGTTACGCACCTTTCCTTTCAGATGGGGAGAAATGATCACAAGAGTGAAAAATGGTGTTTCATCACGTACATTTACTCAAGTGAGGGAATTACCCGCAAACCCCAAATGTGTTGGTGGAGACAAACAAAAGCAATGGATCTCAGGATCCTAGATCAGACATTTAAGTGGATCAAAGAGCATGTTATATTGAACATGTCAAAACGTAAATATTAGTTATCTTCACAGTTTAGTATTTATATACCATACAATCTTTGTGTGTCTAATGTAATATATGATCTTTTTAACCACATTACATATTTTATCACAAGAAAACATGAATTTACTTTATTCTATTAAAACAATCTATTACACAAACTGAAATATCTCTTAAACTATTTGATGGATTTCAATTAAGTTGGAGCACTGTAACATCTAGAAAAGAAAATCTGAACTGTGCAGGACCTCGGTTGACTTTCTTTGGTTATGGAAGAAGTAACATTTGATATCAACAATGCGATCTCAAGTTTCACCTGACCTTCTCTTCCTCCCCAGATGATGATGATACTGGAGAGGTGGAGGTGAGGCTATCTCTGGACCGTAAAGACATGAGGAGGTACAGCGTGTGGGAGCAGCAGGAACTGGTGGAGCGGCATTTTCACTTTGAGGACGACGAGGAGCCTTTCCCTGCCGCCATTCTTCTGTTATGTGTGTCAGAAACTGCTGCAGCTGCTTTACAGCGAGAACTACAAAAGCTGTGTGTGAAACAACATGGAGCGACGAGCACTGGTGAGACCAATAGAGAGCTTTGAGTTAGGTGTTGCACAAGTGTTGTTTTTAAAAAGATACACTTTAGATTTCTACTGTTGGCAACTTTGTGTCCTTCAAATTGTCCTGGTTTCAATTTGCAAATGTCAATTTCTCTGTTCATACTTCTTATATCATTTTAAGTAATGTTCGTTATGTCACATGATAATCTGCATGGTGCACGATGACCTTGATTGTACATTTAGATTTTCTTTTTTTCATAGGCAAAGCGAGCCCGTTTCTCCTGCTGACCCTGAGATTTCCTGTGGTGGGAATGGAGGGGGCTTTATTGCGCTCCCTCCTGGACATTGACTGTCTCAACAGTCTGGCACAAGGAACCATTGATTGTGTCGACAAACTTAGTTGTTTGGACGACTTCAACACTCCTGTTCTTTCTCTGGATGATAGCCTACAGCTGATCAGAAGAACTGGACTGGACTCTCCCCTGCTGTCTCTGCTGGGCCTGGACTGCTCTTACCCTGGATTAGACACAGACGATGATGATCTGCTTTCTGATATAGACTCTCCAGGGGCTGAGCAGGCCTGATGTTTCTTCTGCTGTTACAATAAATAAAACAATTTAAAAAAAAGTTGCTACAGTTGCTGTCTTTATTCTTGCGAAAGGTTATTGTTATTAGGTTAAGTATAAAGAAATAGAGATAAGAAATAAAACCTTTAATCCAAGTTTGACTTGACTGATTAAGAAACGCAAAGGTGTAATGCAAAAATTATGAAAAAAGCACATTTAAAAAATATAATATTTTCATTTAAAGGTGGGGTAGGTAAGTTTGAGAAACCGGCTCGAGAGACACTTTTTGTTATATTCCATGGAATGCTCTTAACACCCCGATAGCAATGAATATTTTAAGTGCTTTGACAAAAAATCCATACAAAAATGTCATCTGTGGAAGCCGTAGTACTGTAAAAAGCACGACCAATCATTGAGGCAGATAATTGGACTTGCTTTTTACAGCGCCACGGCTTCCACTGATGAAATATTTGTATTTATTGTCAACGCATTTAATATATTCATTGCTATCGGGATGTTAAGAGCATTCCATGGAATATAACAGTGTTTCTGAAGTGAATTACCTACCCTACCTTTAAACGTGATACACTGTGGTGGTAGCCCAAAGCTTTCTTATATTTAAAAATATCTGAATTGCATATCTCACAATTGTACTGTAAAAATGCAGTACTTGAATTGAACGTGCTGAGTTACTTTGCTCACCCATCCTTCCCGGGAACAAATGTCAGCTCTTTGTGCACCTCGCTGTTATTCCTGTTGCACTTCTGGTGTCTACCGGATGTTGCTAAGGAGCATAGGAGCGCAACTAGCAGCACTGAGCCCAACAAAATGTGACTCTGCTGTGTTTTGTAAAATGCTGGTGGAAACGTTCATGTGGAAATAGTTGGCCTACAGTCTCCTTATATTACCTGTTGGTCTGAAGAGAATCACGTGTCTACGGTAAGCTGTATCTCTGCTAGCTAGCATAATAGACATGGTAGCATTCAACAAGCTAACGTTAGCACTGCCGGCTAACGCTAGCACTAGCTATTGAGGGTTTTCACTTTCGATTGTGAGAAATGTAACTTTAATCTATTTTAAAATCAGATATGTGGTAATTTTTGGGGTGGGCATTGACATATCTGCAATACGGGTTTCCTGTTATCAATAGGAAGCGTTAACGTGACTTGTGTGCTATCTGTGCTACATACATTTTGTAAATAACATAGTTAAAAGGCTTTTTTTCAAAGCTCCGTTTATCGTTTTTTTCCCTATTGTAAACGGTAGTTTTTAAAAAGTAAACTACAAATACTGTTATAAAACACAGCGAAAGTAATACGTAAAAACAAAATAAATATATCAAACTAACAAATAAAAAGCACTGCATCGCAAATTGCTTAATATTTAATTAAATTAGTATAATTGGGTAATGTTGTCCTCGTTTTTGTTTAAATATTTGTATTCCATCATCTGTTTGCATTGCTTATGTACAGGGGTCACACATGGTCTGATTGAGCAACATATCTTGTGAAATAGTGTTACTGTTGCTTGCTAATCCAAATAATAAATCAAACATCACAGCCAGCTTCTGACACATTTTTCTTTGGTATGGTTGCAAACATTTTGTAAAGTGTCGAACAAACTCAACATGTGAAAAACCTTGTTTGTTGAAATTACGTGGTTGAACCTCCTAGGTTATACAGGACCTTTTTTACTTTAAAAACACATTGGTTATTGCTTAGTGAATGAAACCCGTTTTTTAAAATACATGTTACATTTATGTACGATTTAATTTGTGACACTTAATCATTTTTATTTTCTTTGTTTGTCTTTCAGTGTTCTTGCTGTGTCTCAAAATTGTAGACCATGATGGATCGAAGAAGAGCCTTAACTATTCCATTTAATGTTGACAATAACTTGGTATGTGTGACCCATGTTTTCCTCACATGCATGTTTTTTTTTGCGCAGCATGAATTGCTTAACTGGAGAAATTCTGTAGGAAAGCTTGCTTTATGGCTACCATAATAGATTTGTTGTTCACATGTAAAGCATAAGCTCATTGCGATGTATTGTTTAATGGCTCTGACCTGCTTTTGTGATTGCTAATGGTATACTTTAAAATGATGTTTATCTGTGAGCTTACTTCCCTTTTGTTAAAATAAATGGTTCTCCATAAGGGCAAGAGGACACATTACAGCGGAAGCATGATAAGCTGTAAATAGCTATTTCTGCATAATTGCCAATGCTACAGTTACCATAGTAAACTGCTGCTGTGTTAATTTTTTGTGTGTTTTAAGTTAATTATACGATCTATAAAATGTGACATGTTAAAGTAATGTATTTTAAAGCTCTGTGAAACCCAAGTTGATGTTTTCAAATTGCTTGTTTTGTCTGACAAAGCCACGAAAATAATCAATATATTATTGATATAAGGCAAGGCAGAGATAATCAGCAAATCATTCAAATTAACGAGCTGGAACTAGGGAAATGCTGGTATAAAATTAAAACCAATCATCAAATTAGAAAATGTATTCTCTTACAATCAACGTATCAATTTCCTGATTTATGATTGCTGCTTTATTCCAGTGCACATGCTTCAACACATAGACACATAATGGAATTCTTACTTAAATGCTTTGCTCATTTGCACTTTTTGTTTTTTAATTTATACAAACACAGTAACTAACCACCCTGTTAATTTTAGGTGGGAAACCCACTCAAAATCTCCATGCCATGTCTCTCACCAAAGTGTGGGAAGTTAGAAAGACAGGTACAGCGATCCTTCTCTGTGTGACCACATAGACAAATGTTAAGGTGGTGGTGGTGAGGTTTTTCTGGTTATTTTCACAAGACTGGCTCTGTTACCTTCCCTTCTCACAGGTTTCCTGGACTGCATTTGCAGGTTGCAAACTCAAACATTGTGATTCACAGCATACAAATGGATCCACGCTGCTTGATCACAAGCACGCTGCTACAGTCACACTGGAAATGGCAAGGTGAGAAGAACAAATGGATTTTGTTACTGCTGTTTGCAGACAGAAACACCTGATTAATGTTCTGCTATCAGTTAAAACTATAAATGTGTAGTGTTGTCTATGCTAAGCTTAACTGTTTGATACGTTATTGTTCCAAGCTTGCTTTCTGCTTTGCTTGAACTATATGCTATATGTACACATGCTCGTTTATTTTGTTTTGATTGGCACCATTTTAATTGGGGAGAGGGTACTGTATTTTTAAGCCTCTTCTTTTTCAATTTTTAAAAACTTTAAAACCATGACATAAAAACATGTCTTTAAGCAGTTATGGTCTTTGTGACTTTTGTGATGAATACCATCATTATCACACTACCGAGACTGTTTGTATGTTCATCGTCTTCCCAAGTTTTGTCTACAATGCTGAATTTTAAAGATTGCCAGCTGTCTATTGTTTGTGTGTACAGTAGCAGTGTTGCACATTGCTCGAATTTGCTCCTACTTAAAAAATAAAGAGTGCTTATATGCACCATGTCTCAAGGCCAAGCTTATCATGACTGCACACATAGCTGATCTAAACCCCTCCCTCTTGATCAGCTGGTATGGACACAGCTGGCCAGGACACATTAAATGGTTGACAATGTTGCAGACAGAACGTTGCTCTAGAAAGGTTGTGAATAACTGCTTCTGTGTTTCATCCTGTAGGAGGCAGCCCTGTCTGATCCTGACCAATGTCCTAGAGACAGAACAGGGTAAGGCCTACATGAAAAGAATAACACAGAGTCCAACTTCAAGGAAATGCAGACGAGGGTCAAGTACACCGTTGGAGAGTGGGCGAAGCAAAGAGGATCCTCTGATCTGCAGAGACAGGAGGTCCAGTCAGAAGGAGGCTGATAAAAACAGAAGTCAAACCCCTAAAAGCAACCAAAAGAAAAAGTCCCCACTTTCTCAAAGGTAGGAATCAACTGTTAAATGGATAAATAGAAATGTAGGAAATGTGCTTTCTTGCTGAGGGTTTGAGAATTGATTCCACTGTCATTTATTTACCATAAATATAAAGCTTACACATGAATCTGCTAACCTTAGCTTAGCATAAAGACTAGAAAAAGAGGGTGGAATCTAGTGTGGCTCTGTCCATATGTAAAAACAATTATCTACCAGCTCCTTTTTAAAGCTGACTTATTAATATTTTATAGTTTGTTTGTGTAAATTGAGTGGTTCTTAGGACATTTAACAATCCTCTTTTTGGTTAAATATAAATATGGCATTAAGCAGGGTGTCCGCGGGGTCTTAAAAAGTATTAAAAGTTGATAAATCAATTTAGCGAAAGTTAAGGCTATTAAAAAGTATTAAACGGCATTTTCCAAGGTATTACATTTTGTAGCTTGTTTTCAATAAGTATATAAATTGTCCAAAGAGGTTGTATTCTAAAGTTTGCCTGAATGTAATCAGTGCGTATGTGTGTAGTGTGATTCTGTGTAGTTTATTTATGGCATCCCGTTGGATTTGACGTCATCTGGGGCCTCATTTATAACGCCTTGCGTAGGATTGACGTAGGAAGGTTGCTTACGTAGTACAAAGCACAAAAATAGGTACATACATTTTCCACCATTTTCCGATTCACAAAACATTGCGTACCGGCGAGGGAAGTGCGTACGGCACTCCCTACGCCTGTTTCCCTTGATAAATCACAATCGACTCGTAACGCCCATATTTGCCTATAAATAGTCAAATAAACGCCCATTCATTCATTCATTTTGACTGACTGCATGAAGAAGATCGCAGGAAATTACGATAGAACAGCTAAAAAAGACATCTCACACCGTGTCAGATTTTGGTTATTGTGGGGAGGTCGAGATAAATCATATTGTTTGGTGGATGCAGTTTGAACCAGAGTAGCAGCATGGAGGTCGGATCGTCACCAAAATAAATAAATAAGTGGTCCGAAAAAAGTTAATGACAAAAAAAATACACATAACCTTCCTCAGGCAGTGTGTTTGTCCCGGGGACAGGAGACCCCCCCTTGATGAGAAACTGTAAGAAATGATCGGGGAATCCCTCCGGAGTGGAGTCATGACGACTGGATCTGAATTATTTTGTT